GACCAAAAATAAAAAAAAAAACACGCGATTGCCAACCCACTTAACTTATAACTTATAACAAAGTTATTACTATACACAGATTTTATCAATTCAATCGCTTTAATTTTATACGGGGTAGAGCGATGCTGCGGCTATCATATATATATGTATAAAATAATCAAAACTATTTAACTATAGGTTATAACATATTTTTGGTATAGGTTTAAAAGACTACACTCTGCTAAATTTCGTGGTTACGTCGGGCGGCACCCACTAGATAGTGTAACGCCCTGGTAAGAAATGCAGGAATTTTATGGATGCATATCGCTCAGTACCGTGCTTTGTGGTATTCCTTGAGGGAGGCCTATGTTGTTGTAGTTGATGATGAAGCAGATAATAGTAACCACCTCTTCTATTCTCTTACTTAAATAATCCACCTAAACCACTAATCACGAGGCGTGGAGCAGAATTGCTATGGCCTTGTTCTTTAACCAGACTTATATAAAAATACTCGATTACCAACCCGCTTACCAAGCGTGGTAAAAAATGGCAAATAAACCTTCTCTATAATGCAATCTATGGGGGAGGTCTATGTTCAGCAGTGGACTTTAATAGACTGTGACTGAAAAACTAAAGAATTATTTCCCTCTAACTTGATTCTGAATTCATTTTTAAAACACTTGCCCTGAAAATTGTCGTAAAAGTTATATAAGCATTGTTTGATTGATAGTTTAAACTTAATAACGCTGTTTTACTGCTCTCCGCAGGCAACGTACTTTTATTAAGCTTTCTATATGATTTTATCGTTGTAAACTGAACTTTATCATTAACCTTATTGGCAGCATAATATGAATAAAAGTGTTTAATAAAAGTATAACAGGAAAATTTATCTTATGGTTGAAAATTAGGAATATATAATTTGAATGCTTTTGTGGTGATTTCGTAGCTGAATTTAGTATATAATATGTAGTTGTGTAGTTGGTAAAGTAATTTATTGTCATGTCGGAGGACTTTTTTAATGTAGGTACAATTATTGGAGAGTTCTTTATATTCTTTAATTCTTCCATACACTATGTCTTAACACTGACTTCAAATGTGAATTTATTTTATTCTTTTTAGATCTTAAGAACCTTGTTTTCATTTTCGTTTTTTTATGTCTTTTTTTACTTCTTTGAGCTTAACTAGGCCACTAAGAAATATAACAATCTCTTTGTCGTCTAAATAGTTAAAATAAAAACCTCATCCTCTCTTTTGCCACCATTAGGGTTTGAATTATTTCTTCATATTTATGCCAGACAACTACTCAAGAGTTTAAGCTTTTTATTTATAAAAAAAAGGAAGTAATAATTCTTTTTCACAATCAATTAACCATCGACGAAGGTATCGAGTAATATACACAAAAAAAATCATTCTAATGAAGAGCTCAGTCTAAAAATTAAAAATAGTCACTCCTGTTTTGGTATTCAGCTAAAAATCTGCAGCTTCCTTTGTTCGAAATTGGTTTATGCAAAAAAGCATGCCATCCTATTTTTAATCTCTTCGTACTTTGAAATTTCATTAGGTGCATGTCCACTGCTACTTTATCAATATTTGCACTCAGGCCATTAATTGTGTGACGGAACCGGTGCTTGAAATTTAATTAAGTCAGTGAGGGCCTCTTATAAATACGAGTATATTATATACAAAGTGACGTGTTATTTTAGCTTTATATTTGTATGATATAATTTGCATCTTTATGACAATGCAGTTACTATGGAACTTAAAAAATCCTAGCGTGTAAGCAACGTTTAAAAAATATATATACTTGCTGGAACTGGTCGGCAGTTATATATCATTTCAAGCCCAAGCGATTAGCCTATTGGCTAAGAGAAACGGATTGCAAAACTCAAAAATCGTAAGTTCGAATCCGCTATTCAACTACTGTCATGAATAACTCCTAGCACAATCGTTTACTTACTTACAATACTTTTCTTAGTTGGGGTGATTAACGGGAATATTTGTAGTGTTAACAACACTGATATTATTCTTTATTATTGTTATATATATTTATTTATTTCATTTATTTATTTTTCATTCTTTTAAAAAACGTTACCCCCACACTAGGATTTTCTCCTGTATTGCGGAGGCAGTTTACAAACACAAATTGCACAAGGACAAACATCCAGACCCGGAACAATTATTTATAGGCCGTACAAATACTTGTTCCGTGCGGGATTCGAACCCGCACGGAACAAGTATTTGTATATATATATACACTTTTTAAATATACGTATTTAAAATACGTACAAAGTAATTCTGTATCTCTATATTTTATATATTCTGTATCTCTATATTCTATATTATCAGAAAATAGCCGGTGTAATTCAAAGCTGTATAACAATTTTCTATGTATTTTATATACAGAAAAATTTTATGTTAAAAAGCAATATTAAAACACCTCAATATCGGGACAGATACAGGATTCTAATTTGTATTAAAATTTTGAAAAGTAGCATTTCGTAGGTAAGATACTTTTACATTTACCAATTATACCCAATTATATTTCATAATTTGCACCCGGATTTTTACTGATTGTTGTTTTCTGTCTCCACTTCTCGGTATACTTGGTAGAGCTATGTTTCATCTATATTATAGTTGTAGCACGAATGGGTTATTGGCTCGACCAAGGAAAGACCACGATTTCACAGAATACCAGCGTAAAATAGCAGCTCAATGCTGCTGTGTTTCATAATATGGTGAGTGTAGAGAACCAGAGTTAATTTTAGAATTATAAACTTCGCTTTGTTTACCTGTGAATTTTCTTTCTTCGTTACTTCATCGGTCAGTAAAACCAAGTTTTTAAATATTTAATTTAAACAATTTACATCACTAGAACATTTTATAATTTTTAACAAGATGAAATGATACAACAGTTCGTTTCTTTACCGTTTATTGACAACAAAATATTTGGCACTGTAAAATTAAAAAGGTTAGTTCGAATTCCATCAAGGTTAGTTCGGTTAATTCTAATTCCATCAATCTCTAAGTTTCTAGAGTATTATGAATTCTATTTAGGTACAAGATATTATATTTATGGCAATATCAAATTTATATTAATTTTTTACAGAGATTTCTTTCGTTGCTTCATCATCTAATTTCATATTCATTGAAGATGATTGTAGTTACAAGGTTATTTCTAATTAAAAATTAAAAATGAATTTGGACAATGTTGAAAGAAAATACATGAGGTTTTGGCGGGAACTTGAACTCATGTCTTTTCTTTGATAATATTGGTTGTTGACTAAAGTGGATTTTAATTTAATGTATGTTATGTCTGAGAATATAAACTATTACTAGAAATGATGTTACAAGCGCTCCATTGTTAAAACAAACCTCAAGTTTTTGCGTCAATTTTGATATCATCGTCATCGATTATTCCCTTTATATAGGTTGTCGTCAAAAAAATGCAATGCTGCTTTGCTCCTTGTCGTGAGTGTAGAGTACCGAAGACACTTTTTACTGGAAACGAGGCATTCCATCTTAGTCCTCAGGTGTGACTACGCATCTGCATTTTAATTTTAAATAGGGACTGTTTATGGTCCCTAGCACTCACTTACCATCAGGTGGACTGTGTGCTCCTTTTTCACCCTTATTCCATAAAACAATCAACATATTACTGTTGTGACTAATTTTGTTAATAAATTATTACAAACTACAATCGTTAATTACGTGACACTAGCAAAAGTACGATAAAAGAAATTAAACGCTTACATTATGTAAATAATGTTATTTATATTGTATTTGGAATTAATGCAATACGGATTTAAAATTTTAAAACTATTACATAACGTATGACTTAAACGATTACTTACACACCAACTCAATCATACTTGCGAATAAAAATAAAATTATTTTCAAAAATTCGAACTAACCTTTCTTCATAAACAAATTGAATACTGAAAATTTAATCTAGTTAATATTGTTAAGGATTTTATTTTATAACTAACAATATTACAATAGTAAATGATAAAGGAGAATATAAAATATTAGTTTTGAAACCAATTAGTAATATAATTTGTTTTCGCCTTAATAAAATATTTAAAAAAAAATCTCTATCAATTTATAAGGAAGTTATTACTAAAACAGCCATGTTTTTATACCTTAACTAGTATCGAACATTTATTTAGAACAAACCCTATTTCATTTACTTGGCACGTATGGTATGCCTTAAAGATTAAAAATAAAAATTATGAAATTTCAAACAACTTACCTAGGGGGGGCACATTTAGCACCGAGAAAACTTACAATATTATCCAAAATCCCAAATGTAGATTTGCTCACTTATTTGTAATGATTTTTTATAATTTTTATTTTTTACACTGAAATTTAAGAAATTTTGATATTTGAAAATTCCGATGTTGAGTCTAAAATATTGATAAATTTATAAAATTCAAGATAATTTAGCAGCTAAGAAAAACAATAAGTGACGACTCTAAAAAGGTTAAACATCTCAATAAGGTAAACTCTTATCCCTTGGGTGCAACAGGTTTATAATATTTTACCTCGTTCTCTAAAATGATGTACGTGAACATCACATAACAGTCACAAGAGGTTAATATAATAATTTTTATTTTTTTAATTTACATTTGATCACTGTCTCGTCTTTCGTTTACAAAATATACAAAAATGTTTGATTATTTTACATTAACTATCGACTACACTAAATGTTGGTCAAGACATAGTATAAGTGAAATATAAGTATATTGATTACTCATACTATGTTTTACACTATTCGTGTTTTACTTGCCGTATTTTATTCGCATTGAATAATTTAAAAGAACTCTATTTTTATTTGACAAAAATATTTTAATATTTTTATTTGGTAGCATTTAGAAAATACACTTTATCAATGATTTTAAATTACATTAGTCATATTATTAAATCACCTCTAATCTAATGGGAGACATATTTTTTACACTAGTGTAACGGGATTTTACTACTAATATTTATAAGGTTTTAAAAATAATACTTAGAAAAAGATGTTAATGTGAATTATTGTTAGGGCTACTAACATTTAAACTGCTAAATAAACTAGTATCTGATTTTATATCCATAACATTTACATTAGAATTGATTTCATCCTTAAAATTAGAAATATTATTTTCGTTATTACTCTCTTGATCATTTATGTTACAATTTATACTTTCTTGAAGAATATTTACACATTCTGTTTCTGATTTTCTCTCTACATTATTGCAATTATTACTTTCAGAATTATCTTCATTACTATTCTTGGTTGATATTTCAGACATGGATTCTCTATTTTCGATAATCACATCAACGCTAGGCTTAAATGTATCTCCATCCTTTTTTATAATTTTATCTGGTAAATCTGGTGGCCTTACAGTTGATAGGGTACTGGAGAGAAATGATGACTGTAGGTTATAGCCAGGTAGTAGTTTTGGTTGAAGTGGCAACATTAGGTCGAGGGATCCGGTGGTTGCAGGTCTCGGTTGCAATGGTGGGGCGGTCATCAAAGGTGGCTGTAGCGATGCTAACGAAATGGCGCCACATTGGGTATTGATGATGGGGCTCTCAACTGAAAAAAAAAACAAAACGAGGTACAGTATGGGATATATTTTACTGCTTAAATAAGTAAGAAACAAGTGATTTTATTTAAATTTTACCACATTTTTAATAAGTTTTTAAATTTAAATTATTCTTGCATATACATCTGAACTTTCCAGCTCATCGGGAAGTTAGTTTAAAATCAATTACTAAAAGTGACAGACAAACAAGAAAGTGACTAAATGAAAACGCGGTAAAAATGATGAAATTATTTTGTTCTATTGAAGTTTTCGTAAGTTTATTATAAGCCTTACTTACATAATAATAATAATAATAATTAAGTGGAAATATTGTCTAACATAAAAAATTTTGTAAACATGTAATTTAAACATTTCTTTATCGATTTTAATTAGTAATAAAATAAGTCAATATAATATTTGGTTAATTTTATTACTTGTATGCATGGAAATGGTACCAGTATAAGTAATATCTAATTCATATTAAATAAGAAAGAAAGTTTCATCAGAAATTTATCATAAATATTACGATGAATCTTGATTTCTTTCTAAAATAATAATAATGTCTTCCATGTTTAATTCCGGTCACGATGGGCAGTCTCTGTGAAGACTAACCATCAGCACAGATTAGGATTATATAGGGAGTGCATGTCGTGCATTACGACATGCACTCTCTATTCACTAAGTCTCATAGTTCAACGAAATGGCAATCCATTGTACTATGAGTCTTGGTTGTGTCAACCAGAGAGAGATCAGGGACAGGACCAACTGCTTTTCGTGCTTTTCGAGACACGAGGGTGACACACCGCCAAAGTCCCAACTCCAGGCTGTTACGAATAATTTGTTATAACGATGCTAATGAAAAACCCTTTAAGTAGATTTTGTCTCAACCTGTAACTTGAACTCGAGACCACATGCTTAGACGACGCGATGACAACCACTAGAACAACGAGGTAGCCAAGTTCTAAAATATTTTTTTACAGTATGACTAATAATTTCGCTTTACCAATTGGGGCTCTTGCTTGCAGTGGTTGGGTGTTGGCTGGAGGTCGAAGTAAATTTGGAGGTCCTTGCAGAGCCAAGCTTATCATGTTCATTCCATTTACACCTGTAAAATAAAATTGCTATTATAGAAACAATGATACTTTATCTTTTATAATACACATAATAAAATTGACGTGTCTGACTGTAATATCGAAATTATTACGAGTACCTCTTATTGAGCTATGCAATTTAATTGCATGTTATTAAGATATAAATGTATGTCTGTCTGTCTGCCTGCCTGACGGCCTGTCTGGCTATCTAGGCTAATCTTCGAAATTGTTGAACTGATTGTGAAGAAACTTCACAAACAGATAGAGAACAATTACAGGAATAATCCGAGCTATGTTTCATTAAAAAAAAAACTTTGGCTTGTTTTATAGAGTCGAAATAATTATATTATGCTTCTTGATGATTATTTAAAACCCAAATGACATAGCACGAATAGATCCAAGTTAGGTGAAGCCGAGACAGGTTGCTAGTTTGAAATATAGTTAAGATGATTGATGTAAATTTTCTTAAAGGGATTCAAAAAAAAATTGACCAAATTTTCTTCAAGTTTCAACCTTATTTGTACGCGTTGCACCATACTGTAACCAACGAACGAGGTTCTGGCAACCGACTGACGGCTTTCCCCATATTTGCTCGCTTTTGATATGGTGACATCAAATTTATTGGACTGGTAATAAAGAGCTGTTCTAACAATGTAAACATATTGGGTAATTATAAATTATTCAGTAGGAGAAAGTGTTAAATTTTTTAGATCTTAGGTGGCATATTGTACACTTCTTTGATATTTTGAAACTAAGTTACTTAAGTAAGAGTGCCTCCACATCATGATTATTTTAATTTAAAAGCCTTAAAGGTAATTCGAAAATAATATGCAATCTATTTTATATATTTGTTACATTTTTTTAATTTAATCTTAAATAATTTTTTTCTAATTTGTTCAAAAGCTCTAGAACTTAGATGTTTAGAAAATTAATATGTAATGTATTAATAGGACAGACGGCAAAAAGTCGTTAAGTAACCCAATTCAGAGTAATAAAAATCAACGCCATCTCGTTTCAGGCCCCGTGACCATCACTTACTGGTAACTTACCAAATTTGTTATTTGCCGGTGACAAATCCTTCAGAACCACCGGATGTTTTACTGCGTTGACCCGCCGGTTGGAGGCGCTAGCGTCGCGTTTTCTTCGAGGTTGCTCCACTGGCAGTACGCGACGCCTCTTTTTTGGTAGTTTTGAACGTGCCTGTCGATAGATGGCAATATTTTTAAATTAAAGATAATACAAGTCACTACGCTTAAAATATGCAAAAAAAACTGTTGGTAAAATACTTGTACATAGGCTGCACTAAAAGTACCGGGAATGGAATATTTCCACTGTTCCTGTCATATTAAAATCTCTTTAATTGAAAACTCCTTGGTTTTAAAAATCGAATACCATTTATTTATTTAAAAAAAGATTCTCGGTCTTGTCACAAGGTTTTGTCAAACTTGTTTAGCCGTTGACAAAATGGAATTGACTCGAGAAAATTCAAGAGCGATGATTTATTATGACTTTCGAAGTGGTTTAACACAAAAACAGTGTATTGACTGGATGATTTCTGCATTTGGTGATGAAACCCCATCCAAAACCACAATTTATCGCTGTTTTGCTGAATTTCAACATGGACGTGTCAAGCTCAGTGATGATCCCCGTCAAGGTCGTCCAAAAACTGCAGTCACCCAAGAAAACGTTGATGCTGTGCGTAATCCGATTGACGAAGATCGACATGTGACATACCGCGAAATTCAAGCAACTTTACACATTGGCATGAGTCAAATACAAATAATCTTGCATGAACAATTAGGTGTAAAAAAGTTGTTTTCCCGATGGATACCGCATTCGCCCTGTGAAGAGAGAAGAGAAAAGCGGCTCGCGTTACTTGGTGCGTCAGAACTCTCGAAAGATTCCACGCAGGATCCTCAAATGCTGTATACAACATCGTATCAGGTGAAGAATCCTGGATATACGCGTACGAACCCGAAACATAAAACCAGTCACGAGTTTGGGTGTTCGAAAATGAGTTAAAGCCAACAAAAATTGTTCGTTCACGGAGTGTTGCAAAAAAAATGGTGGCCACGTTTGTCTCCAAAACCGGCCATGTTACGACTATTCCTCTTGGGGGACAAAGAACGGTTAATGCAGAATGGTATGCTAGCATTTGTTTGCCACAGGTCGTTTCTGAACTCCGTAAAGAGAACTGCACAGAGAACCACCGCATCATCCTCCATCACGACAATGCGAGTTCTCACACCGCACACAGAACAAAAGAGTTTTTAGAGTAAGAAAACATAGAATTATTAGACCATCCGCCGTACAGCCCCGACCTAAGCCCTAATGATTTCTATACATCCCCTAAAATAAAGAATAAATTGCGTGTATAGAGATTTTCATCACCTGTAGAAGCTGTGGACGCCTACAAAACGGCCATTTTTGAGACCCCAAATTCCGAATGGAATGGTTGCTTCAATGATTGGTTCCATCGTATGGAAAAATGTGTCAAATTTCGCGGAGAATACTTCGAAAAGCAATAAATACATTTTTAAATAGTAATGTTGTGTCACTTCCTTGATTACCGAAATTTTCAGTGCCGCCTAAGGGATGTAAAATACACTTGATATTTCAGCTTAGAGGTTTTTCCAATCAATAGTAACATAAAAATTATTAAAAACATAAATTACTTTCAATAAGTTTTCTTATATTAAATAAATAAATTAAAAAAATATATTCGTTACGAATGGACTAAAATAAAAACCTGAAACGACCTTTGAAAGAATGGTAAGCGATACCATCTGGTAGATTGGTAGATGGTTCACATCTTAATGTCATGAAAAAGAGTGTAGTGGTGGTGTAAGAATATAAAAATATTCATTACCCCATATTATCGTCTCGTGGGTAATGTAAGAGGCAATAGAGGGAAACGAACCAGGAAAAAGACGTAGCAGAGTCTTCCCAATAACAACTAAAAATAAAACACTGCATGCCTGCATGCCAACTTGCAACTTTGGCAAATATCCCTCCTTTGAGGCAATCAATGGGGGAAGTGTAATGGTAACATCATGAAAAAAACGTTAATTTTTTTTAATAAAATCTTACAGTATCATAACTGTAATTTCTCTTTCGTGTGTGTTCATTTTATAAAATGTTCGTGGATCTATCGTTGCAATCCGATTCAAGGCAGAAATTTATATCTTTGGTAAGTATATTTTTTAAAACAATACTTCACACTCGGACATTTCCTGTTTATGAAAGCGATCATAAACGGGCAAGTTTTGTGGCAATTTTTAGCTGCTATTCGTCGCTAACGTCGCAAAGAGGCGAACCTCAATTTTTCAAAAAATTACAGAAGAGCAAGAAAACATTTATTATTCCCCGATTATTAGCTTTTTTTCATCAAAAAATTAAATATATTTGACTTAATGGAAAACTACAAATCAGATTAATTTTCTATTTTTTTGAAAAATTGAGGTTTGCCCCTTTGCGGCGTCAACGACGAATTGTGTAACCGCCAAGTTGCCGTCTACATTGCGCAACGCAGTGCAATGTTGCTCAACTTCATTGCTCTGCGATTCAGTACAAGCAACATGGGCGCAATACTCTGCAAGGTGTTGCATAATGTGGCAAAAGTATTGCTGGCAATATTAATTAGCTATACCTCTGGACTGACTTGTTACTTGCTGGAAATCTTCTTGCCAAGATTTCCAGCAAGTAACGAGCCAGTCCAGAGGAGTTTTAGACACATAAATTGCACGAGGATGAAAATCCTGACCCGGAAAAATTATTAATAGGCGAAGCCACACATGTGCGGGATTCAAACCCATAAACTCACAGCGCTGCAGCCAAACCCTTAGTCTTATTTATCTTTACAGCCCATATATTGTCTCATACGAAGGATAATTGCATAGTTGCCATGTTTAGCGGCTTTGGGACCGCAGTTTTTATTTTTATTCCACTGCTATTAGGAAAATTCTGCTGCCCACCTCCTGATTCAGTTTTCTTCTGTAACTTCTTGTTGGTTTAATTAATATATCACAAAACCTATCGAATACCATTATCGATATCGATACCATTATAGCCCCTTAAAGTCCACTGCTGAACGCAGGCTTTCCCCATAAATTTCTAATAGGGGAATATTTGCCGTAGTTGCTACAGTTACAACCGCAGTTTTTATTATTTTTGTCGTTATTAGGAACACGCTGCTTCCTATCTCCCGATTTGTTTACCCCGTCGCCTCTTACGACACCTAAATGATCTTATGGGGTAGTGGATATTCTTACACCGCCACTCACGGTCAATAGGTAGAGTTGTATTTAATTAATACGAAAATAATAACTATTGCAATTAACAAAAGGTTGTTTCATTGGTTAGAGGCGGTAGTAAATAACACGCAAGTGGGTAATTTGTGCCACCACTGATTAAATTCTCTCGCCTCAGTGGTGATTTGTTGACTCAATCTTTGCTACGTTTATTAACTGAATCGCCGGCGATAAACTCAATCTTGGTTAACTACTATGAAGCGCATTTTTCTTTGTCGTTTTTTCTGTTTCGTTTAATGAAGTAGGATAGAGTAAGTATAGGTATAACTGTTGTTGTTTTGTTTTTTATATGGAAGAAGGGCAACGAACATGCGGGTCCCCCGATGGTAAGTGTCGACCGCCGCTAATGAACAACTGAACCACCAGGGGAATTGCAGGTGCGTTGCCGGCTTTTTAAAGGAGTAAGCTCGTTTTTTGAAGATCTCTTGGTTATACCGGTCCAGAAAAAACACGCTTGGTAAAAGATTCCACAAAGAAGTAGTGCGAAGAATAAAACCATTAAATCGTACAGTGGAGGACCGTGAGTTTTGTCGCGATATGCGTTCGTGAATTTGGCGACTAGAATTAATCTGAACAAATCCTCTGAGCACGCACCATAGAAAATGCAAAAAAAAATATTTCATAAAAGGCTGGTTGTTCAGTCTTTACACATTAAGCAGTTAATTATTGTGTGATGATTTCTTAATAGTTGGTGCTATACTTATAACATGAGTTTTGTAAATCTCGGTATTGAGTTTCGTAGCGTTACGGTCCATAGTAATTGTATTGGCTTTGTAAGGGTGGGTACAGATTAAGTAACATGTTGTGTAACTTATGTTTTATAACACGTCCCATTATGTTACATTGTTTTTCAATATTGCTATATATTAGAATAACAATGCAATATAACAATGTTATATGACATTGTCGCTTGTCGTTCTGCAGTGCCTTTCACAATGTCGACATGAGAAGACGTTTTGCTAGCTGCTGCAGCAACTCTTGTACTTTTAAATAACAAAAGAAAAAAAAAACATATAAACTGGGTTCGTCCCAAATAAACATAGTTTATTGACTAGAGTACTCCCGAGTTATATAACATTTGTGTCACGTTATATTATTCATTTTATAACATTTAGTCTCCACATGATTGAAATATGTTATATAACAATATTATGTTATATAATATGTACGCACCGTAAAAATAATCTCTTCAATTTGCTTTAATAATTCAGTTTGTTTTATTTCACGCGCACGGAGCCTTTTATGGGACGCCGGCAAGCCAGTTGAATATGCAATATGCATTATGCGAAACATCAAAACGTCAGCATGACGTCAGCTTCCGCTACCATTTGTAATGTATGGAAATATATTTCTTTCATCATTATTTATAGCCTATCATAAGTCAACTGTTGAACATAGGCCTTCCCTCTATAGATTGCCTCGTAAGAGGATAATTATCATAGTTGGCCTACTTGGCAAGCGGGTTAGAAGCCGCAGTGTTTATAAGTTGTTTTCAGGAAGATGTTGTTGCTCATTTCCTGATATAATAATGAAAGGTATGGTGGAAATTACGGGTCGAGTTTTTGTCGAGATAATTAAACGAGTGGGCCGCATGAACGTTGCATTGCATACAAACTCGATGTTATGGGTAGCGAGTGCGATTTAGCATCTAGTATCTGTTACTTAGGCCCGTATTAATAAACGTTACTCAGCTCAAGTACACGCACTTGAGTACAATCTTAAGGTTATGATCTTATTAATAAACATATCTCAAGATGCGGTTTAGGTTTACGATATCAGCTGAGCGCCACACTGATTAATAAACGAAACTCGACTCTCAAGTGTGTGTACTTGAGTGCAAGTCATAGAACAGTATTCCTAAGTACAGCGTTTTGAGATACTGTTTTTATG